CGTGCCGTGCTGAGTGGTCGCGACATCGCGGGTGGGGCCCGCGATTGGGGAGTGTACCTCCTAATGGCTACCTGTGAACCGTTGCCCACTCCTGCTACATCGAGTGGCCTCTCCTCTGTGGGCTGAAGCCAGTGCGTGAACGGCCAGGTTCATAGTGAAACGCTGCCCCCACAAATTGGCCCAGGCCCCGGTGTCCACGATGGCCTCCAGCCGGCCGACTGGAAGGTCAGTGCTTGTCAGGGAGCACGGTGAATCGGTTGGTGGACTTGGGTCTGTGCCTGATAATGTCGGCCACCAGGAACGTTGGCCGATGCGGCGGAACATGCAAGGCCAGGTGGGTGTCGCCTGGTACTGCGACGTCGGCAGCGCGCATGACATTGGAATCGCTGCAATGGGACTGCGAAAGATCCTGCCGTGGCGTCCCCGGTGTCGGTGCGGGCCCAGGGGTCTGCGCGGTGTCCTGGCGGTGGTGGTGACATCTCCTCTGGCTCGCTGCTTTCTGGCGCTGGCGGCTTGGCGCTGTGGGCGCCCTGCCCAGAGTGCCGGGGTCTGCGGAGCGGGCTGGCGCGCATCTGTCGGGCCCGCCGTGGCAATCTGCACCGATGCAATGGAAATCGGCGATGGCATCGGCCGGGCCGCGGCGTGCCGGCCAGTGCACCAGTGAGGTGCTGGTGATTGATTGCGCCAGCTGCAAGTGGCGTGCCTGGTGCAAGATGTGGCGGCAGCGCGGGCGTGCGCCTCGATCGCCATGTGCGAAAGCCTCGATGTAAAAAAACATCCCCGATCGTCGCCGTCGAAGATCGCGTCCTGGGGCGCAGTCGGGGCTGCGGCCGGCACAGGGTGGATCTGTCGGTGTCTCGGTCCAGGTCCACCTCTGCGCGGGCCGTCGTCGCTGCTCGTCCTGCTGTCGCAAGGGAGTGCTAGTTGGATTATGTGGCGGTGAAGCGGCTGCCGGCGCGGACGGCGGTGGCCGCGTGGAGCTCAATCCAAATGGCGCGCTGGCGCCGAGTGCAGAGATTGATGGCATGTAAATCCGGCTCGGCAGCTACGTCGGCGAGTGGGGTAGCTGGCACAACGGCTTGGGCATTGTCGCTAGCCCAGGTGCGCCCATGCTGTGGCCCCAAGGGGAAGGAGCCAGCCACGCTGACCCAGCGCTACGCTGTCCGCGATGGTGGTGCCACTGATGCCGCCGGAGCGGTGGGCGCTGCAACTGCTGCGCCCCCCGCTCCCGCCGTTCGGACTGGCAGCGCAATTGCCTTATCCGTGGTTGACCGCAATCCGTTCGCGCGCGGCCCGCGAGGTCGTCCATCTCCTGGGGAACTCTGTGCAATTCGGCCTCGTGAGGGTTGGGGGATCCGGTGACGACGATGGAGTGCCCGCCCTGCTTGGCCAGCGGCCGTGTCCGACTGCCTGCCAGGGCCCATCGGGCGAAGCGCTGGGAGCCGCCGCTCCTGGTGCTGGCCGCGCAGACGCCGAAGCTGGGAAGAGCTGGCCGTCCTTCTCGGGATCGGCGCTCTGCGTCGGGCCACCGTTGTCGGGTCCCAGAACCGCAGGTTCGGGCGTCCTGTGGGCCCCCCTGATCATCCATGCCGACTAGGTGCCTGGGGCTCGTGGTTGAGCGACTGGTCCGGGCGCTCCGTGGTGTCCTAGGTGCGTGGGTGGTGGGGGTGCGGGCGTCGGTGGCGGCGCTGCTGCCGATGCTGGGGCGCCCAGGAAGAAGGCGCGCCCATGCCGGCGCCGACTGGGGCAGTCGCGCGCGAGGTGCTCCTCCGAGTCGCGCCCGTGGCGCTTGAGGCGTGTCCCGTCTGGGCCAGCGGGTTGACCTGGCGGCCGCGTCCCAATCCACCGGTCCAATGTTTGCCCTTCCCCAGGCCCCTGCCTCTCCCGACGCAATCGACAGCTGCGCGGGGGGTCAGTGTCGGGCAGGTCTGCCAGGAAGGCGCGACAGCACCTTCAATGGCCCTTGCCCTTGCCCTGGGTGAGCCCGCCGAGTTCGGCGCGCGGACCCGCGGCTGTTATGGCAGCGCCATCGGGAATTGGCGCGCCATAAGGCCCGACAGATGAGCGCCGCGCTTCTCCGCTGGATCGCCCCGCAGATTGGTGTCTTCGACAGCGATCTCTTCGCCGGAAGAGCTCGCGTTGTCGGAATCGGTGCCAGAGTCTGTAGGTGCTGTAGGAAGACTCGGTGCCGGTCCGAGGGCTAAAAGGCCCGTGCCATCCCAACTCGATCCGGCTCCAGTGCCATGGGCGCTCTGATCGGCCCCAGTGCCACAAGTACTCTGGCCCTGATCGTGTGAGAGCGTGCCCGCGGGAAACGTTCGGCGCCCTGGCGAATGCGCGGCAGGGGCGAGACTGCTCGAGAGCCTTCGATCATGTGACCACATCGGCGTAGCCGGCCCATCATGCGTGCCAGCGTGCGGCGCGTCCGTAGGGCAGTCCATGTTGGAGTGCCCCAAGGTCGTAGCGGGCCGGGTGTTGGACGCGCCCGCAGCGCGCGGCAATGGATGGCTTCGGCCCTCGTGGCCGATCGTGAGTTGACCGTCCTGCTGCGCCCTGTAGCGGGGGATGTCGAACCTGGTGGGGAACTTGTCGATGCGCTCCTGCGGCAATCGGTTGAAGTTCATCGGGGCCGATGCTGCCCGTGCGCGCTCCTCCCCTCCTAGCTTGCCCCGCCGTTCGGCCTGGCTATGTAGGTCATGGGCGGCGCTGGGCTGCCGTTGACATGGCCGCCTGGGGAAAGCCACTGCCATCGGTCAAGCGCCCGCGTGCTCGCGAGCCATGCCCGTCGAGCGAGACGGGACGTAGGCCCCCTCGCGAAACTCGTTGACGCCGGAATCCGCCACAGACCAAATCATCACCTCACGCGCCCCGCGCTGGATGGGCACGCGAGCTTGCTGCTTGGGGGCCCTGGTGCGGGGGTGACGCGTGCGGCCGTTGCCGCCGCCGCCGAGATGCAGCGGATGGCGGCGATTATGCCCGCTCCGATGGCCTCCCATCCAAGAGTGGGGCTCCCTGCAGATGCCGAGGAGGCGTGGCTGCCCTGGTACCCCCTAACGGCGATGCTCCATAGAGATCCTTGCAAGCGTCGTGGGTATCGGTCTCTGGTATGCTCATCCTCACCGGGCGCATTGGGTCTCCTCCTCTGTCATGCGATTGGCTTGCTGGCTGCGCTCGGAGCATCGCCACATAGTGGCGCTTCAGCTCGTCGTGCGTCGCGTTGTCGCTGTGCTGTGCGCTGCCAACTGGACGATGATCAAGGGTATGCATGCGGATCCAAGTCTGTCCTCAGACAGGGATTGCGTAGAAAACGTTTGGAAATCATGTCGCCGCGCAGTTGCGGTTAGCTCGGGGTCCTGCATCGTCATCGCAAATGTGATTGTCGTTTCGTGCGGTTGCTTGACATCATCGGTCACATCCATCCGAGGCTGTCGAACATACATCGAACCAACTCGGGAGGGAAGAGGCGGGGGGCGCCATCCTTCTTGGTCTGGTACTGGTTGTGGTTGCTGTACTTGTGCTCCTGCGCCGGCGATTGCGGCTGAACTGGGTTGGCCCCGCCGGTCCCTGAAGACGCGGCGCCTGCCTCGGTGAGGAACATCATCAGCACGTGCGCAGATAGGATTGTAAAGCGGGGGGTCGTCGATGACGATGTAGAACCAACGCCAAGGCCAAGGCAGCGTGCCACGTGGGCCATGGCGGCATTTGTTGTAGCGAAATGTCTGCTACCACATAAAATGTAAAGCGGCGGATCATGCATGTTCTTGTGTCGTAGAGCGTTGCAAAACGATGGTCGCACACATCACCTTTAGAGCGGGCGCGGCAAGTGGCCACCCTTGAGCCAAACGCCCACGGAAGGCCACCCTTGCACTTTGACAGCCATGCCACCCATGGTGCTACCGTTTGAGCAAGAGGATGAGGATGAAGATGAGGATGAGGATTAGGAGGGGGAGGAGGAGGAGGAGGAGGAGGAGGAGGAGGAGGAGGAGGAGGAGGAGGAGGAGGACGAGGACGAGGAGGAGGAGGAGGAGGAGGAGGAGGAGGAGGAGAGGAGGAGGAGGAGGAGGAGGAGGAGGAGGAGGAGGAGGAGGAGGAGGAGGAGGAGGAGGAGGAGGAGGTCGACGACGATGAAGAAGACGAGGAGGAGGAGGACGAGGAGGCCGAGCGAAAACGGAGGGACGAGGAGGGAGGGGCGACGAGGAAAGGAAGGACGACGAGGTGGACAAAAGTGAGGCGGGAGGTCGAAGGAAGAGGGAGGACGAGAGGGGGGGAGGCCCCAAGACGAACCCAAGACCAGCACAAAAATCAGGCCGAAGATAGATCGGGGGCTGGCTCGGGGCGAGTGCATCGGGCGCCCTCGGCCGTTCCAGAGCGCTCCCCCTGCTCCTGCTCCTGCTCCTGCTCCTGCTCCTGCTCCTTCTCCTTTTCCTCCTCCTCCTCCTCCTCCTTCTCCTCCTCCTTCTCCTCCGCCCAGAACGCTCTGGTCTGGAGCTCGCCCGAAAGGCTACGACCGCGTCCGCGACCTCGGTCGACGGCGCCGGCGGCAGCGACGACGTCGAAGACATGGGCGTTGCTTATGGCTGGGAAGCAAACGTCGTTGAAGGCGGCGAGAACACGTGGACCCTCCGCGCGTCTTTTGGGCTCTTTCAGGGCCCCGAAGGTGCACGAACGGTGGACATTTCTTCACCCTCCCCTTTTATCTCGGGCGCGGACTAATCCGGCTCAGCGCGAACCAGGCTCAGCTAGAGTACAACAAAACTGCGCTGCACATTTCGAGGACTTCACAAACCAGGCGGGCTCAGCCAATCTGTAAGGCCACCTCTAGGGGCGTGAGCGACTCCCACACGCGACACTCCAGCTCTGCAGGATCCTACAGGATCCAGCCCTCTGGCTGAACCCCGTTTCTGTTGTGGAGAGCCCCGTTTCGCCCGTCACGCTTACCGCCCTGCGCCCATTGAACAACGCCCGAACGACGACGGCGGCGACGACGCCGGTGTCGGCGCGTCCTGCCCGCTGCACAGTGGAATGGCCGCGGAGGCGGTGGCGCCCCCTCGGAGCAGCGGGGCGGGCGCCCCGCTGGGCCCCACGACCTCGACGCGGAGGGCTACCAAGAGCTCCTGGCCGCCGCGGGTGGGCGTGGCCGTGGTCGTCGTGCTGCTCGTGGCCGTGGTCGCGATCCTCGTCGTCGCCCTCCTCCGTCCTCCCTCCTCCTCCGTCCTCGTCCTGCGTCCTCCCTCCTCATCCGTCCTCGTCCTCCCTCCTCGTCCTCCTCCTCCTTCTCCTCCTCGTCCCCTCTTCCCTCTCCTTCTCCTCCTCCTCCTCCTCCTTTTTCTTTTTCTCCTTCTCCGCCTCCTCCTCCGGCTCTTCCTCCTCCTCCCTCTCGTGTCCTCCTCCTCCTCCTCCTCGTCCTCTTCCTCCTCCACTTCTTCGTCCTCATCCTCCTCATCATTCTTCTTCGTCCTCTTCCTCGTCGTCGCATCGCCCTCGACCTCGTCCTCTTCCGTTTTACACTGGACAAGCGTTGGTTTGCTTGAACAGTCGCGTCTGAACCTCCTCCTCCTCCTCCTCCTCCTCCTCCTCCTCCTCCTCCTCCTCCTCCTCCTCCTCCTCCCCCCCCCCTCTCCCCTCCGCGTCTCTTCCTTCCCCCTCTGCTCCGTCATCCTCCGGCCCTTGGGTCGTGACCCTTGGGGGCTCAGCGCGGAGGGTCGGGGCTTTTGGCTGCCGTTGTCGCCGCTGCTGGCGTCGTCGTCGCCGTGATCGTGATCGCGGCCACGGTAGTCGCAGCGGTGGTCGCCTTGGTGGTCGCTTTGAAGACGTGAACGGCACCGCCTTTAGGCATCCCCCGCAACGGCCCAGTGAGAACAGGCGGCGGAGTAGGTGCCAATTGTTGAGGACACCCCATGGTGGGGAAGGGGAGGGGTGATCACACTGGTGTGCCACACGTCGAACGCTGATAAAAAAGGTTTGAGGTTGCCGTGGGGGGGGGGCGCCATAAAGACCGCTGCGGGCCGAAAGGCCTGTTGCAGGCCTCTCCAGGCCTCTTTCGCTCGCTGGGACTTGCCGAGCAGCGGGGCTGACTGTTCCGGTATCTGGTGTAGGGAATGCGCCGTTGGCTCGCTGATGGAGCGCGTGAGTGCTGGCGATGAGAACGGATTCGCGGTCACCTGGGTGCTGACTGTTCGCCGCAGTGAGATGGTGCGCGAGGGATTGCCTACGGTCCGTGCGTTGGGTGGTACCGCTGGCTTGGGGGCCGTCACCCCTAGCCTCTCGGCCATCTCCGTCGGAATCCTAGTGAAGCAAATAGGGGGACAAAATGAGGTGGGTGTTCGGGGGAAGCGCCGCGCTCTGACGATCAAGCGCGGTCGTCGGCTGGACGAGGGAGAGAAAGAAATACAGAGAGAGAGAGAGAGAGAGGGAGAGAGAGAGAGAGAGAGAAAGAGAGAGAGAGGGAAACAACAATAAAGATAGAGGGATAGAGAGAGAGGGATAGAGAGAGAGAGAGAGAGAAAGAGAGAGAGAGAGAGAGAGAGAACGAGAGAGAGAATGGCTGCGTGCGTCGGGGTAATCCTTAACTACACTGTCTTCGCATCCGCAATGGCTCTGAGGGGGGCGAGGGGCGATGGCTGGAAAAAAGATGTCCACATCAAGGGCCCGAAGGCAATATCACGTGATGATGGATGACATATCGCCCTTCTCCAAAGTTGAAAAGTCCACGTGTTGCACTTCGCGAGTTGCCTCGCGTGCGCCGCGTCGGCTTTCGATTCGGGGGGGCATCGGCTTGTCGTATGCCCTTCGCCACAATGATGGGCGTGGATTTGTTTGTACACCCGCTGGAAGTCGTTTGCTCCGTCATCATTCAACGAGGCCCCAAGCCCGAGCGGATCGAGGTTCCCCCCCTCGAAATCGTCCGGTGGTGGCGACCGGGGGTCGTCGAGCTCGCTGACGTGGCGCGGTCCTGGTGGACCGCCCGGCGGAAGTGGTGGTCCTCCTTGTGTCGGGCGTTGGCAGAACTGCCACTTCCACTAACCGGAACTGCCGCCACCCGAGAAAACACCAGCCATGGCAAACCTGGTTTGGTGATTCTGGCCACTTCAAAGGCCCTGGGGCCCTACCACTAACCGGGTCCCCTTACCCGAGAGGTGGCCTGCAGGCCGTGGCGGTACCGCCTTTGCCCCTTCCTCCGCAGAAGCGGAGGCAGAGGACGCGCCACCGCCCCTGGGCGCACTGCTCCTCCCGGAGGAGGGCCAGCCGAGACCGACGGCGGCTCTCTCGTCATGCGCTTGTTGCCTTCTGGGCCCTCCGCCCTCCAAAAAGCTTCCCGTCGCCACGGATGGACTCGCCTCGAAAGACGAGTCAGAATGGACCTCCAGAGGGACCGAGGATCGAGGACCGACGCTTCTGCACGCCCTGTGCACCACCCCCCGCCCCCCGAGACCGAGGGCGAGCGGGGCCGGCGTCGTTCTGGAGAGGTCGGGCCTGGGATGCCTAGGCCTCCCGCGAGGCAGGAGGGGGGGCTCCCCCTGTGTCGCTGGCCGCAGATGGCGGCGGCCGTACAGTCGAGGAGAGCGGCGAACTCGTGTCGCCATTTTTGTGTCGGGCCTGTCCCCCGAAAACCCAAAATATCCAAAAACAAATAGTCCAAACACAGTCTGGGGACTATCTTTTGAGTATTTGTTGACCTTTTTGGTGTGTTTTTGGGGGTGTTCTTTGTTTCTCGTCGAAAATCCCCCTGTAGGGGGTCACGCCTTAACGCCATTTGGCAGCGTCAACCAAGCTTTGTGGGACGCTGTGAGGCCGCGCCCCTGCGGTGGCGAGCTCTCGGCGCGGCGGCTGCAGGGTTCAGCGGTACACCTTGCGAAATGCTTTAGAAATCATGGGTTAAGAAATTCATAGTCTCAGAACTTGAATAAAAACCCAACATTCCCTTTAAAATCTTAAGATTTACATTGAAACGTTAAGAATAATCGAGACTCTGGCCGAAAACTTAAGTTTTCTTAAGCATCGCCCAAGGTGTAGGAGTGATGCGCCCTTCGTTGATGCCTTGCCCCCCCAAATAGCGTTCCACCTGCTGGACTTTGAAACGGGTTGGGTTTCGCCGGCGGCGCGCGGCGGATTCTTGGCTGGTGGCCCGCTTGGGGCCCCTCGCCGCTGTGGTTGCCCTATGAGGAGGCTTTCAAATCCGTCAACGACCGCCTGGCTGTCGACAAACTCGCGCACCGGTCGGTCTGCTGTGGCGACGAGATGAGGCGTGGCAAGCGTTTTGGCCCGCTGCGCTGGGCGTGCCAAACCGTGCGTGCGGGCCGAATAGTGGAGCCGAGTGCTGCGCCGTAGTACGCGCCCGAACCCGCTCTGGCCAAGAGAGGTGGGCTTGGTGTCAGCAGGCGCCGTCCGTGACAGCATGAACCCATGGGTCTCCTTGCTCGTCGGTGTAGTCTTGTTGCGGGTCCCGTTCTGAGCACCCTGGCGGCGGTCTCGGGATGGGCAGCGGAAGCTCTCGTTCGGCATGGGCAGCCTGTAGTTTGAAAGGGGCGGGGACTTCTTCCAGCGGGGTGCAGCGCCTGGTCTGCGGTAGAGCCCTTGCGATTGTTGCTCGGTGGTCTTGGTTTTGAAGGCGGCCCCGTCTCCCAGCCCGGGCGCCCCCGTGCTGCGTTCTCCTGTGTTTCATCTCCTTGATCGCACCATCTGCGCGGGAGAGAGAGAGAGAGAGAGAGAGAGAGAGAGAGAGAGAGAGAAAAAAAAGAAAGCAAAAAAGAGAAAGAGAGAAAGACTGGTTGTCCGAAATGCCTGCCATAACTTTCTCTTGCTGGGCGCGGTACCCCCGCGGGTAGTTGCAGAGGGGGCGCATTTGGCTTGCCATTTGGTCTTTGGATCCGCGTGTTGGCTGAAGAGTTAATGCCCTGCCCGACAGCGGTGGCGACGCCAAGATCGCGCCTGGCGGTTGGGGTGCGTCGCGGGAGTGGTCTCCGGCGTGCCGGCCGAAGCATGCGGGTGAAATGCCCAAGTGGCAACTGAATTCATGAAAGGCGGGTGCCCCAATCGTCGTGCATGGTGGCAAACTCGGGCCAAACGAAGTGGGCGATGGTTTGCCGCGCTCTGCCAGCCAGCCCACCCCCCTGGAGATATTGCGCGTTGACGTGTAGCTCCCAGGCCCTCGGCTTTAGCATTGGGTTTGACTTCTCGCCGCGCCTGCCTCCTGGGACTTGTTGGCGCCTCCCCTGGAATCGCGGCGCCGAGTTCACTGGCGTGGCCCGGGGCCGCCATGGCGTAGGCGTAGCTATGTGTGAAATCCAGGCTTGCACATGAGGTCCAGCGGTGGCCAACGCGGCGTTGTTGCGCAGGTTCCTCAACCTGTCGCTGGGCGCTTGGATGTCCGCGCTGGCGGTGCGCATGCTGGCCACATGGGGCCAGACTGCCCTGGCTCTCAATTTACTGCCTTCAGGAAGGCGCCAAATGCGTGGAAGCCCTTTGTTCGCCTTTTCTGCGCTAGCGCGCGCCGCGGCTTCGAGGCTCGCGTGGGGGCCGTCGACCACGGGCGCCACTTTGATGTAGCTGCCTGCTAGCTTCTCCTGGTGGTGAGTGGTGCGTGGGTGCTGGTTCAGGTGCAGAGCGGCCACCTGGCAGTCAAGCTCGTCAGACATCCTGTCAAGCAGAACTGCCTGGCTGAGTGAGGCCTGTGACTTCTCGGCCGTGGGGGCCGAGGATGTGCGCCGTCGTTAGCGAGCGCGATGTTGTACTGCGCGATGTGCCTGTGATGCCGCCAAGCCAGACGCGTCTGAATAGTTTGACGTCGTCCAATGAGAATAAGCTGCCTTGGAGGTGCCCGTCTGTGCGCCGGAGGGGCGGGGGGCAGGCACCTCCCGCGCGAGCGTGCCAGCTGTGGTCTGCGTGGAAATGGGCCCGCAGGGCGATCGGCGTGGGGCGCGACGTTTCGATGGATGCCAGTGGCGAAGTAGTCGAAGCCTTCCTCTCTGTCAAGTGCGGCGCCCGCCGGCGGCAGCTGGGGGCGCCGCGCGAACTCAACTTGGCGGGCAAGCGTCGTGCTGAGGTCGCCAATGTTAGCGCGCGGAAGCGCCCGGAAACTGGTGGGGCGGGTCTGGTGCTCTTTGATGGGTGC